AGTCTGCTAGGCATTTGGCATGGTGTCGGAAGAAGCAGCGGTGGTCATCCTATGTCTGCATCCTGTCGAACTCTTGGTCCAAGAAACGTACAGTTCAAACCTCCTCANATTTTGTAAATGATTAAGGAACAGAACCCTCCCCACACATAGACTACGCCATATAGTGTATAGACTTTGCACCCTAAGGCCGAGGCCACACAATGAGCGACAGAATGGCGAGAGGCTGAACGGCTTAAATTTAAGACATATGAGCAATGTATGGGGCAGCTCAGCCGCTCATCGCTCACCGCTCAGTCGCTCATTGCATGACCTCGGCCTAAGAGTCTGCTAGGCATTTGGCATGGTGTCGGAAGAAGCAGCGGTGGTCATCCTATGTCTGCATCCTGTCGAACTCTTGGTCCAAGAAACGTACAGTTCAAACCTCCTCACGGCGATCCTCACGGAAAGTTCTGTAAATCACTACCGAGGGTGGCAACACCGATGGGATCACTCCAATAGAGGTCGATGGACGCACAAGCTCATACCTCACATAGAAAGCTGGCTAGCAAGAAAGCATGACGAAATAGACTTTAGTGCCACTCAACTTCGAAGTGGGCACGGCTGCTTTAGAGCGTACTTCTCCCGCCTTAAATTAGACGATGCCAATCTTTGTGAAACCTTCGCTCAAAATAGTGTGGAAGGTGCAGAACATATTCTTTTTGCATGCCCAAACTTCCAGGAGGAGCGACTTTTCCTTAACGCTGCATTTGGAGTAAATCTGACGCCAGAGTACCTGATCCCCACATAACCGAGTCGCCAAAGTAATTCTCCACAGTCACGACAAACCCGATTGCAAAGCTGAGACGGCAAGAGCGTAGTTGATCAACTCGAAGATAATTTTGCACGGTCGCAGGTATGATATGTATACATGATGCAGTAACGTGAGATGTGACCAAATTTAGACAACTGACTTGATCTATTAAAGTAGCTTGGTGGGACGTATTTACAGTGATGGTGGTTCAAGAAACCAAAACTTGTTACTGACTGCATCAGAGCAGGAAAGTGTGATCGACCTTAGGTTCAACCGCGCTTCGACGAAATACTTTACGGTGGTACAGGGGGAGTTCTAAAGAGATTCGATTTACTACCGGCCTCAACCGAGTACTGGTCATTGCTCCTGGATCCTCCACATCTATATTCCTTCCAGGCAAGACTAGGCACGGGGTAGTGTCTGGAACCATGCGCCTGCGAACTTCTTCACCGATTAATCGAAACTGTATGGAAATTTAGATGAACGTATCTTCTGCGATGAAGCATATGTCTCATTTAAATTATATTTCCCAGGCCACTGCATCAATTTCCAAGCAGAACAAGTGCATTACAAAAAAAGAAGCGGCTGATTAGATGCTCACAAAAGTCATAACTTTAAAGGAGTTNCCCAGGCCACTGCATCAATTTCCAAGCAGAACAAGTGCATTACAAAAAAAAAAGCGGCTGATTAGATGCTCACAAAAGTCATAAATTTAAAGGAGGTAAATATATATTCCGAAAACCGGGGTAATCAGGGCCTTTTTCCTGTCAATCTATGCCTATCTTGAGCAGCTTCGGCCTCGGCCGTCTCCGACAAGAAAGACCCTGCAGTAACATGCTCTAGTTTTTTCCCAGCATTCGCTTAGCAGACACGAAGCCAATCTCTTCGAGAGTTGTCCACGTAAAGTCAAAGGTACCCTCACTAATTCTCTTCTCACCGAAGCCTTTCGAGGCTACCTATCTTGAACAGTTCAGCCACATTGCGCANCCAGCATTCGCTTAGCAGACACGAAGCCAATCTCTTCGAGAGTTGTCCACATTGCGCTGTTTCTGGGAATATCACCGTGACGTGCTACCCACAAAAATTTGACAAGTACTAGTAACTAGCGTAGATAGAGCCAACCAGACACCTGCAGAGTGGTTCGAAAATCTGCTTGGGACTGGAAAGAATTGAAGTGCCTGAAAGAGCAAGTCAACGGTTATTCAATAGGTCATAGGTATCGTCATCTTCCGCCTCTAAATCGCAGGTGTCTCCTCAGACTGGGTTGCAAGGAAAGTAGGCATCGGGGAAAAACTAATCATTGGCTAGTTTCTCGCCAGTTTCGTCCCGCTAATATCCCGGGGGAGCCACACGTCTCACAAGCAACCGTCTGAATATGGTGGCTTCTGGCTCCCTTCTTAATTGCGGTCCCTAAATTTCCTAGTTCTATTTTGTAAAGTTCCCAAAATGAGGGTAACGTAGTGCCTCCTTCAATAAGTCGTCTGCTTGACGTTCTGAGGCCAGAGAGCTGCGCTGGTTCGCATACGAGTTTCCCTCTGTAATTTCAAAATCTTAAGGAGACTGAGCTTTCAAGAGTAACTTATCGGATGGGGTCGAGTTACCTACAGGTGCAGTGAGCGAGCTGAATACAGATCCCTTCTGTAAAGATTCTTGTCTATGAGGCGCAGGTTCCTGATATGTTGAAAATCTCCAAGTTGCCGCAGATTGTTTTACTAGTTAATCGTTTTCTGGCAGGGCATACAGACGAACAAAATGACCACTCAAACACAAGAGCAAAAACAAAAGTAATAAAGTCTTTGGGGAATAACATTTAAAAGTATTAACAACAAACATATCGTAGTTAACAACAAAAAGAGAGGTTGTGGCTGTGGAAGGGGAGAATATGTATGTGAAGCAGGGTGTGCATAGCAATGCTTGCGGTTTTCTTCTTTAACTAAATTCAATGAAAAAATTAAGTATTTTTACAAAACACAGATTTCTCCATAAACACTTAAAAATTTACTACCCACCGCCGTCACTATTTACTGTGGGCAGCTCAAAAGTAATACTAAGGTGGCGCATGGGTGGCGCTCTTTGGCACTGTTGACGTCATCATAAAGCTTTAACTGCGAGTACAACAAAGGCGTTTGCTAGCACGAACGAACGAACGAGGGAAGAGAAAGTGGCTTGGCAGAGTTAGCGACCACCACGCAGCAGCAGCCAATGCGCCAGTCAAGCTGTCAATGGCAGCACACACAGTGAACGGTGAAGGAAAGCATGAAAGCATACTTACGGCAAGGGAAGACTCTAGGCAGCAGCCAGTCAGCCAGCCATTTTGGGCATAAGTAGTGCTAAAGCCAAGTCAGTCGCTTAAGAGCCATGAACGCGAGCGAACGCGTCGCGAACAAAAGCACCAATTGTATTGTGTAGCATTAAAGTATTGAATCAACTAAGTGAAGTGAAGGGGAGTTAAGTGGAGGAAATTGAGGGAAAGTGTAGTGTTTGTTATGGCAATGTGAAGAGTAAATAAACAAAAAATACTAAACTAACAAAGTCAAACAAAAGAAAAACACCAAAAGCTTGTGGAAATTCAAAACAATTAAGTGAAATGCTTGAAGTAATGTAAAATATTTGTAAAATTGCAAATTTGATATCAAAAGCAATCAACTAGGATATGAAGGATATGCGCGCATACACACGCACGCACACGCACATGCACACTTCTATGCTGGCTACTGTTTTGTAGGCAATTGCAAGGCGCTGCAATGCTTGAAATAGTGAATATTTTACTTTTACCCAGAAAAGCTATTTAGGTCATAGCGAACTGGACCAAACGGCACGAGGCGCACAAGGAGAGGAGCTGAAAAACTAGTACGCGCGTGTGGAAAGTTGTTGATATGTACATATGTAGCTCAAATAACTGACAGGAAGTAAACGACGTGAAGTCAGTCAATAAAAAGGGAAAACATTTGATTGAGCGATAAAAGCGCGAAATGACAGTTTAATCAAATGTCAAAACTTAATTAAACATAAAATCAATAAGCAGCGGCAGGCGCGTGGCTGACTACTGGCAAGAAGAATAAAAAGCAGAAGAAGACGAAGAAGAAGAGAAGGCAGTAGCTTGTTGGTGCAGTAAAGAGGAAGTATAGGCGCGAGGGCGTTACAACAGCCTGGCGAGCATTTCGATTGAATTCGATTATTTTTTTGTGGGTCAATGAAAAGTGAAGGTTTCACAAAAACAAGTTAAACTAAAATTACAACAATAACAAAAAAAAAACAAGAAACAGTAAAAGCAAGTGAAATTCAATGGTTTGAACTTACTGAAAGCGCTTCAGACTGCTTTATTTCTTAAAATGTACGGAAAATGAAGGAATATTTTGCAAAACAAAAACAGCTAAGTCTACTAGTGTAGAAAATTGAAGAAACGAAATGGGCTAACAAAAATTCTAAAAACAACAACCACTCAACTAACAAAGTGCGCCACAAGTTAGCTAGAAGAAATTCTAAATTCTTGAAACGTATCACAGCAGCAGTTGCTTATTTGCTCGAAAAGTTGCAAAAAATCGTTGGCTAAACGAAATAAAAACAAACGACCATAAACCACAACAACAATTACCTTAGCCAATTTCCCAACCACCAGTGTAGCCCACAAACCAAAGCAATTGCAAGCAAAACGCAAGCGCCAATCCATTTCCGTGTAGGCTGAAGCACACGGCTGGCTGCAATAGTCAGAACTGCTGAAAGATGGAAGCCACCCCGAAGGTGCATCGTCATCGTCACCGACGTTCGGATTCGCGTCATCATCGGCACGAGCGTCAGAGCAGCAACAGTAATAGCAATGGCCAGCAGCAGCAGCAGCAGCAGCAGCAGCTCAGACAGAGCAGAAACATTACTACAACAATCACACCAACAACAGCAACAACGACAGCGACAACAACTCTTGCAGCGGATGCGGTAACGACGATACCAACGCACAATGCACAACCCAGCAACCAGCAGCTACAACAATCGCCAACATCACAACAGCTAACGCATTCAAACGCAATTCACTCGCCAGTGCGTGAGCGTCGTGGTCAGGCGCGGACAACAGCAGCCAGTTCGCAGAGCGTGCCAGTGGGAAATACCGCGACCGCGACCGCCACCGGAACCACCACCACCATCGCTGGAACTGAGGCACAAACTTCAATTACAATTGAAATTCCCACAGCGCTCACACAATTCGCGGATGAGCGGGATGCAGAAGATAGCCTGAGCGGCGGCGATGGCGGCATGGATGGCAACTGCGCTGGCATCAGTGTCACCACAGTGCATGAGCGACGTGCGATTTCCTCAGAAGCAGGGGATCCGTTAGCCGCCACTTCTGTGAGCCAGTCGTCGACCATATCGCAGCCTACAGTTTTGCTTGTAAATGGTCATTCTCCGCCGCCGCAGGAGGGTGACGACGGCGACGATTTTACGCAGGCGTCCAAAGCGATGACGGTGTGTGGTTCGAGCACAGACGTTGGCGTTGCTGGCGCGAAGGAAGAAGCCAGTACACAGTTAGAGTCGCCTACAGCAGCAAATCCTAATGGAGGTGGTGGCGGCGGTGGCAGCAGTCGCAACTCATCCGGTGATGCACTTAGCCTACGCGAAACGCTACAGCAGCTACCTCCTACACTAACACACGGTCATCGTCATCGACGCACACATTCACCACAGTCGCCGGCGAGACGGACGCAGGAAGTGGACGCCTCGTTTCATCGCGGCATTTTGGGTTTCATGGATCGTGAATTGAAGCACAGCTCACCAACGCCGTCAGCGCTGAGTGTTGGTAGTGGTAGCGCAGCAAGCGGTGGCGGTGGTGGGGGCGGTAGCGGTACAGTGCGTAAGTTGCAGTCATTATCCGATCCACAGGCGAGTCCCGCACAACGGTCGGTACGTTCACGCAGCAGTTTGGAGAAGAGTCCACGTCGCAAGCGTAGCAAATCGGAGTCGCGTAGGCGGCGCGAACGTAAACTTATCGCCGCTGGTGAAATGGAAGTGCGACAAGCAAACGAAACTTTAATGCGATATTTGAAGCAGTGTTCAGAGATGAATGACGCCTCACTGTCGGGCGAGTTGGAAATCGATCAGAACTTCGATGAACGACGGGTGCATAGGAAGACAAAATCGCAACGGGATAAGCGTGGGCATTTGATAAGTGAGTATTTGGGCAAAGAAGGCTGAAAGGGTGAGGTGAAGAAAGTGTTTTGGTGCTTTAGGTGGTGTGCGGATTGTGTAGTTTAGTTTGAAAAGGTGAAACCGTCAAAGGCAGTGCTCTGCGGGTGCTGTGTCATTTTAACCAACCATGCAGTGTTGATTGTGGGTGGGTGTGCCGCAGAAAAACAGCAAAACGATTTCATTGCACTCAGCTTTTTGTCTGTCTGTATGTAGTATGTATATTTCCCAGCTGTCATTTAATGCCATTTGTGTTTGTCCTCACAAATTAACTGCGATATTTCCCATCGACCAGAGCCAAACGGAAATTCGTATCTTTTCGTGATTCCTTGTAGCAAACAGTACAAATCTATTATTAGCCTCGCTATTTGTAGCCTGCAGAGAGGTAGACGACAGAGTGTCTCACCCGCTGGAATGTCACCCATCTGCAACATACATACATAAATACATATATTTCCTTATAGCCACATATTGTAATGGATGCTTGAAAGCTAGCTGCGAAAGTTTGTAAGAAATATAAGAATTCCAAAAGTGTCAAAGCGGTATAACTGAAATATGAGCGCAAAGATTGCTCTTTAGTCTGCGCTCTTAAAAGCTGTTTAAATTAAGAGCATACAATTGAGCCGGTTATGAACGTTTCCCTCCCACCTAATCCCTTCGCTTTGTACTCTTGATTTGCATTGATATATGCCGCAATTCTTAGCCCATCGATCGACATGTAAATTAATGCTAATCAAAATCAGGGAATACGAAATTAGTAATAAAAAAATTACCTCAGAACTAACTACATTTAACTACTTAGCTTAGAATAAACAGCTACTAAGATGGTTTTACCACGTCGCTTCGTCAATAGGCTATATATAAAAACCAAAGCCTGAGGAACGTTCCCGAGAGTTTTGTTTGTATTTTGTTCTTTACGGAAATGTTCCCGAACCTTTTGTTCCCATNACAGCTACTAAGATGGTTTTACCACGTCGCTTCGTCAATAGGCTATATATAAAAACAAAAGCCTGAGGAACGTTCCCGAGAGTTTTGTTTGTATTTTGTTCTTTACGGAAATGTTCCCGAACCTTTTGTTCCCATTTTTTTCCCCTTCCAACTGCTCTCAATACTTTTGTTACCGTTTGGCTCTTTTGCGGGGACGCACTTGACATTCCATTGTGCATAGCTAAAACAAAATTGGAACGCGGTCTCGGCGCCTGCTTTAAAGGCGGCATAAAACCCATGTTGTCTGATTACATGCTTTGGGGATCGAAGACTTTATTTTAAGTCCGATCTGCCAAACGGAACTATACGAGAAGAATCAGCCTTGTGTCGAATGTCTAGTTCAAAGGCAGTTATGCACCTATCACGGATTTTTGAAAGCGAATAACGAATAGACAACATTTATTAGAATAGTTAAATTCATCCTTACCAAAAGTACCGGACCTTCTGTATTCTTGAATTGGTCATTGGATTGGTATTAGTTATTGCGTGTTAGGTGGCGCTGAAGTCAGGGAAAGTGTTTATTATTCGTTTTTATGTATACAAGAATTGCATTGAAAAGCAAAAATGGATTGTAAAGTATAAATTCTTAGGTAAGAGAGTTAAACGACAGAAGAGCTGAACCATCCCACATACGTAGGCTAAGAATAATAGCGCTGTGATACCATATGTGATACAAATCCCTTTCGATATTATAAGTTTTGCCATGGTCTTATTTCAAGAATTTTCGTAGTGTACTTTACGTGGCCTAACCAAGTTCATTAGCAGACTGACAACGTCAATTCATGCTGTCGAAGGCGGCTTTGAAATCGTCAAATAGATAGTCTAAGTCAATCCTATTATCAGGACTCTTTTCCAAAATTTGGATTGTTGTGAATACATGGTCTGTGGTGGATTTGCAAGGTCGAAGGAACATCGACCTTGTCATCGTTTCCTGGGCCCTTCAATTCGTCTTGTCAACTAATTCCAGTCCTGCTAACATTCCCTGGGATAGAAAAGTGTTCCCTCTGGACCATACCAATCGTAATGAAATGTATTGTTAAGTCACGCCTATATTAGATACGATTTATTAGAGGATGTGCACTGCAACTTTAGGTCTATTCTGCCCTCAGAGCTCATCAAAACACCTCATCCAGCCTCAGTGCTCTGATGAATCCAAGCAGTTTCGAGGGCGTCCTTCTGTCCTGTCCTTCCCTGGTGTGTTAGTCTTCTTATCGCAACCACATCGCATTCTAAGAGGGGATGTCGTGGGCTTTCTGGTGTAATTTCACAGTACCGACACAGGTCGTCTGCACTAATCCCCAGGGTATGCATATGGGCTCGCAGTCTGCAGCGCTCCGTTAGCATCCCTGTCAAAAATCTCAGGTTAATCATTTGAAGAGTTATTAGTTTCCTAAATCTTTTGGGATTATAGCTTCCAAGGAGTTCTTTCGCCTGCCTCAGTTCAGTCGTATTCTCCTAATGTGCTCTTCTTAACCGACTAGCCGATAACTATGGGCTGATTTCTCGTTAATCTCTGCAGAATTATTTCCGCACAAACACTGGTAGCGTAAACCTCCGCTTGAAATATACTAGGGTAGTTCGCTTGAGGAATGAAGATCTTGGCCCTACGACCAAAGATTCCTGCTCCTATCCCTTCGTCAGTTTTTGAGCCAGCTGTTAACCACCTTTGGTTCACGTCTATTATTGTCGCAACTTCTTCTTGGGTGTGGCGTGGGTCTTGGCCCAAAATTGCCACCGCTTTTTGCTTCATTCTAAAGCTTGCAAAATATCGGAAAACGCAGCTGTTGAATATTTTTTTTTCAGTTCGAAAGTGGAGTGTATTTTTTCAACAAGTCTGTAAACCTGTTCAATCGTACTGTGCTCTGTTCTGAAGCTAAATTGGTGATCGGGTATGAGTTTTTTGTCTTCTATAGCACAGGCCAACAAAAATGGTAAACAAATTAGAAGCTGTTTTTGATAGGCTTTTTGGTGCTGATTAAGAATCCGTATGTAAAAAGTTTCCATCAGCTCTAAATTTTGAGAAAAATGAGGTCAAAGTTTAAAAAAATTGCGTTTTTTGCAATATTTAGGAAGCAATAGGCCGCTGTGGTGTAGTGGTAAGCAGTGCGCGCTTTCACTCATCGGCACCTGGATTCAAGCCCTGGTCAAAGCAACATCGCAAAAAATATAGAAAAGCGGTCGTTGCTCGGCAGGCAATGGCAAATCTACGAGTATATTTCTGACATGAAAAACAGTTTCTCATAAAAATAAAATCGCCGTTCGAAGTCGGCGTAAAACTGTAGGTCACTCCGCTTTGTGTGACAGCATCAAGGCGCACGCCACAAGTCGGAGGAGAAGCTCGACCAAACACTAACATATGTGTAAGCGCCAATCTATTAGTATTCCTATTATTCCTATTATTATTATTAGTAGGAGTGGAAGGTCCTAGGTCAAATCAAGCAGCAGGAATAGTAGTCAAGAGTTCTAGCTTTAAATTAAACCTAAGTGGAAGGTTCCACAACCTTTGGTTTCTTTTCCAGAGCTTCCCAAATATTGAAAAAATGCGATTTTTTTTAAGTTTGATTTTAGTCATAAATGACTATGTATAAGTGACTATCAGTTCAAGGAGCAAACATGGTATTTTCAGGGGTAGTAGTCGAGAGTTTTAGCTTTATTTTAAGCCAAAGTGAAAGGTTTTGTCGCTTTTTGTTTCTTTTTCGACACTTTGACCTCGTTTTCTTAAGTGTTGCTCCGTGTAATTGGAAGTAGTGGGGTATTCTAGCTTTTATTTAAGCCTAAGTGGAAGGTTCTATCAGCTTTTCTATCAAACTTGTTTTCCATTTTTGTTGGACTGTTTGTGCAAACAAATTTTCTTTCAATCAATCAAACATTACTTTCAAGGCACACAAATTTTCTTCGCCTGTACCCAGTTATATACACCATGCACATACATATGTATGTAGCATGCAAAAAATTCTCTCTTTGCAATTTCTATTTACCAACACATGCTCTCTTCTTACATTGCAGGCAAACTTTACTCTGCTGGTGGCCTCTCTTCCATATTACGCGAGCTTTCCGATGACATTATTCCCGCAGATGGTGAGGAAATCTACAATCCATTCACACCGGTTGTCTCCCCCACCGAGGAGGATACGCCCGCACACATTGACAAAATGTTCCTGCAGACGTCATCGGGATATCGACCAGTTGAGCACTGCTACTATAAACATTCGTTTGTAGGCGTAGGGGCTGGTGGCAGCAGCGGTGGTGGAGGCGGTAGCAGTGGTAGCGGAATAGCTGGCGGTGCAGGTGGCACTGGTGGCGGTGGTAGTGGGCGCTATGGCATAGTTGGTGGTACACATCGATTGTCAGTCGCGGGCGGCAGCTTGGCTGGTGGTATGGAACATGCGGGCATGTTGCGGGCGAGCGGTAGTTTTGGCGATACGCGTTGCCTACTCGATGCCGAGTGTGGAAGGTGAGTAGCGGTTGGTTTTGAAAAAAAGAACAAAACCGCGGCGGTTGTTATAAGACATATTGTGTGGGTGTCAAATTTGCGCTGCTGCTAGCTAAATCTGCAGCGACATATTATTATGGTAAATGTGACGACGACCAAAGCCAGTTGACAATTTCTTTTTTATTGGAAAGTTAGGTTAAGAATATAGAAATAGTATAGGGATATGATTTTCTCACATACATATATGCATATACATACATAAGTATTTACCCTGCGAACCATTTTTTCGAAGTTTTCTGAATTGTACAGAAATTTTAAAGAATTCGTAAAGATCTCATCCGATTTTTTCCGAATTTTCTAAAGGAAAAAAACTATGCACACTTGGATTCTTTTACGAAGTTTCGGAGGAAAATCAGTAAAGCAATGAAAATAATGCAGCTATGTGAAAAATTTCTTGCAGCTTCTCATAAAAATTCAATCACCGTTCGTAGTCAGCGTAAAACTGTAGGTCCCTCTCCTTTGTGTGGCAACATTAACGTACATGCCGTATAAGCGCCAATCTGTTATTATGGTGGCAAATACAAGTAAATTGTCAAATGACGCGTTCATAAGGGATTGCAGAGAACCGAGTACCGATTAATCTGTATAACGTGGCTTATACGCAACATCAGTTGAATGCGTGAGGGCTAAAAAAAAAATTCCCACCAAGTATTTGTTTGCTGAAATGATTAAATAAAAATTATGCATGCAATTGAGGACTTGTGTTACGGGATGAAAATTTCACTCGATTCTGTACGATTCTATAAAAAATAAAATAAAAATTATATGTTGACTTGAAGCCGGCGACTTATGAATTTAAATNCAGCTCTCAAGAAAAGCAAAAACTCCATATAAAATTACGTACAAGAAATGGCTAAGAAATTTTCTTTAGTAAAATTTCCTTAAGGCAGTACGGAGTTCTTAAGGAATTTGCTACGCTTTCTACTACGGTTTTCTAAAGTTTTTTGTGTGTATATATGCCCGTTCCATTATTTCTTGAGGAAAGAGTGAGGCAACAGGCTATGAAGTATCAAAAATGTTAAAATTCCTTCGACATTTCTTGGCCGTTTTCTTGAAAGCTGCATACAGGGCATAAATATAGTATCGGTTAAATTGTCTGAAAGAATATATGTATAAAAATTCTGGAAGCGTTTTCCACTATTTATCTTTTAAACGAGGCAAAGCAGTTCAGCAGCTTCTAAAAAGTTAGTTACGCTGCTGCTAGGTTGCCTAAGATTTTGTGGTCCGGTATGATGGAATAGAATTGCTCGGATATCCAGTTGCTCGATTAGGTTTCCACTACGACTTTAAAGTTGCGCTTGACAGATATTTTAATATCTGCTTATTCACTTATTAGGTGGTAACAAAATTTACCGGTTACAAAACGCTTTGAAAAATACAGAGGAAATCGGCGAAGTATTTGGTTTCCATTCAAACCGATAAAGGATTGGAGTGCCACATAAGACGAAGAAGAAAAATCGATATTACGACAGCGCGTAAACTCCCCCCCTTTATATTGGAGAGCACCGGACAGAAAACATCTGCGACAACTGTTTGGTGTTCGAAATTCAATGTGACGTGCTTTTGTCACAAAAGCTTGGGAGTCCATTAAAACTTCAGAGCTTAAGGCTCTATAGACAATTTTATAGTGACATAGCTGTAGATACTTCTAGTGGAAAACGTCCCAACCCTCTCAAATAAATTAGTATTCGTGGGATTATTGCATGCCGCTATATTTTTATTAGTTTTATGTTTTAATATAGCCAATTTGTAGCAGTTCAACCATCCTTTTTGTTGGAAAAAAGAAACAAATATTTCTACATTTACGCTACTCGACTTTCTTGTTCTCCATATTAAATTCTAAAGTAACCTGTATCGCTAAAAAAAGAAATATGCCCCGTTTTCTATGAGAGGTTTATTTGTCACCTCCTCTACACCTATTCAAAG